GTCAACTTTGTCATACGGGAGTTAGATGCACGTGAGTATAGTCCACATTTTAATTGGTTGGCATAATATTTGTTCTAATGGAAAATCTTCTAGTTAAAAATATTAATTGGAACCACCGGAATACTAGAAAAATCTGGACGTCTAGTGATAGTTCCAGATTCCAGTTAACAATACTGTTCTAATTCAGGGTTCAAATCTAATTTTTAATCGATTATATTTTAACTAGAATGAATTTTAGCTTACCTGTTACTGTAATTTGTAAATTTACCAGATATAATTCAGATTAAAAACTGGATAATTTAATAATATCCGTTTACAAATCTGGATTAAGAGAATTAAAACAGAATATCTATCCGGATATTCGGTTAGATATCCGGATCCAAGCACTATCTAATATATATTTGCAATCATTATTATATTGAAAAATAAAATTATCATTTGTCAAACACCACATCCACAATGTTCCAATTAATTTATCTTTTAGAATTTTATAATATAACTTCTTATTCATATTTCTCTCAATTCTAAAATAGTTTCTAATACCATATATATCTATATAGCTCTATACCATTATATACTTTCCACTATATTTTATTATCAGCTTTATATGTTGCAGTAACAATAGCAAATTTAGATCTTTTTAGCACCATTCACTTCTATCTGAACCAAAAATCTTGAACTTGGATTTGTCTGAAAAATTACCTATTACCAATTTTCAACGGTCCAATGGTGATATTTTTTTGCAAATTCTCTTTTGCAATTTTTGGTTCATAGTTGAAGTAGAGGTTTTTTCTTTATTTGAAATTAGAAACCTTGTCTTTATAATATATGATGAATTGTATTTGTGAAAACATGCATACTTTTGTTAGATGTTAAATTTTTTTGGGCTTGAATAGTAGTTTAGCATGTGCCTGACCTAAATTTTCTGGCTATTCTTCTTGCATAATATGGTAAGTATTCTGGAATGGTCTAGTCTTAGTAAAATATCCAAGCAACCAGTTTGTTCTTTAAATTTTTTATTCTTAAGACCATATAATAGCTTACTTTTTTATGAAAAATAATAGACAGCTAGAGTAACCTTCTTCAAGGAAGGTAGAAATACAGTTTTTTTGATATTGGAATCACTTTCATAGTTATAATAAGTTTGCTTGCATACTTACTATTACTAATCGAGCAAATATTTATATATTTTTGATATTAATATATCATAAATACATGTTTTATTTTACTTATATAAATATACTATAATTATTGTACCATATAAAAAGTGCATAATTGAGAATTTTCTAAAAAGCTGCATAATAAGTATTAACCAAAATTGGTTATATTAAATCTAAGCTAAAAGGTTTACATCACCTAAATTTGCTAGTTATATGACTTATAGAAAGTAAGATATCATGACCTAAATAAAAAAAAAGAAGTAGAATAATAATTATAATAGTCAGTATATATATTGTTTACTCCAAAGTATCAACCAATCAAATTTGATTTATTGTAAAAATAAATCTATATTTACATATTGTTTACTTAAAACTTTTTTCAAAAAAATCTGTCACTCTTAGGCTGACCAAACAATAATATTGTATTTGGGTTTTTTAATATTTTTTTTTCTTTAATCATATTAACTATTAAGTTAAAAACTGTAAAATTTTTATTTTTAGAGTATACTAAAAAAGAGACAAGTAGCTAAGAATAGTGTTTGTATATAACTTATCTTGTTTTATAGTATCTATACTTATATTGACAAATCTTTAATAATATATGAGTGTCATATCGAGTATCATGTTTATTATTATTAATACCAATTCTATTATTACAATATTTAAGAGTGCTTATTTCACTAGTACCAAGATTACTTTTTTCATTCAATATGTTACTTGATCTAGCTTTTAATAATTTCAACCTTTTTGTTTTTGCCTTTATTTAGTTTGGATTGGTTTTTAACTTTCTCATTACTCCTTTAATGTGTTTTATCACTATATGCTAAATATTCAATTCTTTATTTTTATCAATTATCTCTTTATCTTTATTTGCTTTGCATATCATGTTTATATCTTTATCTTTATTGTTCTTAATATCTATACTATTCCTCAAATGTTGAATCATTATTATCAAATTCTTTCTCTACCAATAGTTCTTTATACTTATTAGTCAACTCATTTGTAGTATTCCTTTTTTCAATTCACTTTGCTATTCTTTCAAAATATCTATTCAACCTTTTATCAAACCTATTTTTCATTTATAGACTTTCACTTCTGATATTTTCATATTCTATTCAAATGCTTTCATATTTTTTGCTTTAGTTTCTATTAATTATTTATTTAAATTAGTTTAAATCTATTTTTTTAGCAATAAATTTCTCCTCAATTATATCATTTTTGCTGTTACTGACTCTAGTTACAATTTGGTTATTAGGCAAAGGTTATTCATTCTATTAACATTTTCTGTTTCTATTAAACTTTAAATAATTTATATTAATTCTATTAGCATCAGTTTTATTATACTTGTAGTAAGCCAATCTTTGACAATTAATAAATCTTTATATTTATTAATTTTTGCTTCATTTAAATTGTCACTATTGCATTTATTATTTCTGCTACTTTCTTTATCTTGACTATTAAACCTAACATCAATTTTCTTTTTTGTTCCTAATTTATTTATCTTAATACTTTTATCAAATCTTTGATCTCCATGTCTTAGCAACTTTATTTACAAACCTAAAGAATTGTACATACTGAACTTCATCACTCAGATCCATATCTCTTTTCTTTTTTTTGCGATTATTCTTCTTCTGATATTTACACTGATCTTTTTCTTTATTTTATTTACAAATATTTGCAATAGGCCAAATGTTCTAGGTGTTAAAATATATAACACAATTATGACTTCTAATATATTTGTTTATTTTTTAGATTTTTCACAATTGCAAAACTATTTCAACTATATTCACAATCCATGAAACTGAATTGTCAACATCTCACATTTTCATTATACTGATACCATGTAATGTCCTTCATTTTGTTTTTATATTACAGTCAGACCTCTCTAAATGCATGTTATTGAAACAACACTTTAATAATATGCATATAGAGAATAATAAGAAAAAGTGTATTTATAGAGATCAAGTATGTATTCAGGCCAGCACTTGAGTTTGCATTTAGAGATAATGCGTACTTATAGAGGGTGCACTTAGAGAGGTTTGTCTGTATTCTTGTTTGTCAAATATACTCCTTATTAACAATATTTTTTCAATGCTTTATCACAACTTGATTTTTTTTTTCTCAATCAATAGTCACCAGCACCCTTAATTCACAATAACTTTTACCAATTATAGCCTTTACTTCTTCTTATATTACAAATCAAATATATTTTACAAGTAAAAATTTATCTACTCAGGTTCTTATATCTTGAAGATTCTCAGTTGTAGTGATCTGGGTCTGTTTTAGTAAGGTAGAACACTTACTTAGCACTGGTATTTTGTACTAGACAATACTACCTCATTGCCTTATGTTACTATAAGAAAAAAAATGGTTTGTTACTAAGAACATCTATTTACTAAATAGACTTATTATTTTTATTAGAGAATCTCATTGCTTTAAATATTACAAGATTTATCTGATTACTAATTTATTCAATTATATGCATAGTTAGACTTTAATATTTACGATCATACTACTTATACAACTTAATTCTAACCAAATATAGCACATAAAATCCTAGAGTTACAAATTAACCTATGACAATACTAAACATATAACCAAGTGAATATTTTTTTACATTTTACTATTATTAAATAATTTTTAATTTATTTTTAATTTATTATAACAGTATTGATCCAATTTTTCTAAAAACTTTTTGCTGGTAAACAATGCTGATTATTTAATGGAGGTAGCCAAATTCTCACTTTTTATCAAAAATTAGTTTTGGGAGTATCAAAATAGCAAGAGAAGTTGTAGTTTTGTAAATTTTCAACTAAAAAAAGTTTTTCCAAGAGTTCATTGTGTCCTTCTGTCTTCAAACTTCCTAAGTTTTCTTTTCAACTTGCTGTTTCCAGAGACTTCTCCAGTTTGGGTACCAAATACAAAGGAGAGTTCACCCAAGAAGAAAGAAAAAAAGGCTTGATCCCTTTGCAAACTATCCAAAATGCCTGCTTATCAGTATATTATGTTTAAAGAATTTGTCAACAATAGTTCATATTAAGAAAACTTCAAGTTATTATTAACTTCTGGTCTTGAGTCTTTAACTTGCTTTTGGTACTAGTTGGTTCAAGTGATCATTGGGGAGAGTTAACTATAGTTATTTAATTCTTATTTAATTTTACTAATTTTAAATATAACCTATTCTAATTAATACAGTACCGGACAGCTATAACTCAACAACAAATAACTTTAAAAAAAA